CTTTACGTGCATGCATGAAGAAATGAGGCTAGAACATCAAAATAAGCTAACAATGGGGTCTTAGGGTTTGGAACTCGACCTTGGGTGCATAAAGGCAGCTACTTTGAGCTCCTACAGCTCAAATATACTCAGATCTAAGATCCATTTCCTTATAGGAGTCCCAATCTCGAGTTTGGATCCAAAAAGTCCCAAAAAGAAGCACATCTAAGCATACAAGACTATCAAATGGAAATAACAAGCAAGGTACAAGCTTTAGTACCAGAATGTGAGGCTGATGATCAAGAGACTCTGGATCTTATTCTTCTCCTTTGGATCCTTCCTTCTTTCTTTCTCTTCCAAAACCTCCAAACTAGCACAAACACACTCAAGCTCAACAATGGGGGCTAGGGTTTACAGGGGAAATGCTCTAAAGGTGCTGGAGGCTGGGGTGGGAGGCTATAATGACGTTTATATAGGGTACAAACCCTTGAAATTAGGGCTTCATCCAGACAGGCAGACTCGCCGAGTCCCTTCATATGGACTCGCCGAGTAGCCAACTTAAAATGCGTGATCATCCCGTCTCTACTCAACGAGTTGGGATACAGACTCGTCGAGTATCCAGTCGACAGGACCGAAGGGATAGGCCAACGCCCTGATATGCTAGGCTAGGTACCGGTCGACAGGACCGAAGGGGTAGGCCAACACCCTAATATGCTAGGCAAGTTACCGGTTGAAAGAGATTGAAGGGGTAGTACCCAGATATGTTAGATTGTATATGTTATGTATGGTATGTTGTATGATGGGGGAACTCACTAAGTTTTATGCTTACAGTTTTCAGTTTTGTTTTCAGGTACCTCTTCTTCGAAGGTGAAGGAGCCGGCACGGTAGCAGCGTATAACACACACAGGATTTCCGCATTATGAGATTCTTGGGATTGTACTCTGACATTGTTACTATTTTATGATATGGTTTTGAGACATGTGACTATGGTTTTATGAAATGATATGATTCGATGATGTTTTTCAGTAAACAATTTTATGAGTTACTTAATTAAAAACAAAAATTTTGGTCTTGAATATATATATATATATATATATATATATATATATATATATATATATATATATATATATATATAAAAGGTAACTTTGTTTTTGTGAGACAAAGTTATCTACCTAATGGTACAGCTTGTGATGCATAATGAACAAGTATATCAATACAATTACAACTTTAATCCCTCAAATTTATATAGTCTGTCACTTTTAACCCCTGTATTTTGTAAAATGATATTTTTCATCCTTTTACTTTTTAAAATATCATTTTTACCATTCCACTTTAAACTTTGTAAAATGTCATTTTTACCCCTTCATTCTTCACTTCTAATACACAACAAAAACACTTAAAAACTCACTGCAAAGCGTGGGCCCAATTACTAGTTATATCATATTGAGGAATAATTTCCCTTATTAACAAAAGAGATATTACAAGGAATTTATATAATCACTCATACACGAATGAGCCTAAGCTAATGGGTACAATGTGGGCTAACATATGCAAACACATACACACAAATACACATATACTAACATTGTATATGTATAAATATGTATTATCTTTTGAACAAATTGTCTAAAGAGAACCATATGTTAAGCAAACACTTAAAGAAAAACATGAAAACGACATTATTTATTAGTGTTGTTTGGTTAATATAGCATACATCCATGAATAGGAATCGGAGATTTCTTCTATTATTCAACAATTTCAAGTGATACATTTAGTTTACTAGCTACAAATATTTATAACCAACAAATCCTAGCAACTATTAGGTCCGTCACATATACAAATGAATTCATCCATACCATCAAATTCCAAATCACGCTCGACCACCATAAATTTTGACAATTTATATTTAGGAACCCTTTGGTGGAATGTTGGAAACCGTAAGAAGTTCATAATCAGCGAATTGAAGTTCAATTTATTCATATTATATATTAATGTAAACATTAAGTATTTTTTAAAATAAATTTTTGAAATAAGGAATGAAGAAACCTATTAATTACAATTATTATCACATTTATTACATTTAATACATTTTAAATAAATTATTAATTAAGAGATATATCAAAAATTTTAAGTTATTATAACCTCAAATTTACATATAATTAGAAAATGTAAATTTGAATTTTGAAATGAGTTAACTAATATATCTACATGACACATAACATAATATTAATTAGGAGTTGTATTAGAGTGACACTTGGCAAAAAAAGATTAAAACTATTCATTTATTAGAATAGGGATGTGATTTTTTAATTTAAAATTTGAAAAAAAACCCATAAATTGACATGTGGATATAATTTATCAACTATAATAAATGAAGAATCATTTTTCCACATGTCAATCTCTCATAAGTTTTGACATTTGTCTTGTGGATATAATTTATCAACTGAATAGTGATGTGGTCGAATTGTTAAAAAAACATCATTAATTATATGGGACGAGGAACCTATGATTCATAAGCATGCATTTGAATCATTGGATCGTTCTTTGAAAGATATATTGAGTTGTGATCTTCGTAGCAACTCAAAATTGTCGTTTGGAGGAAAAGCAATTGTCTTTGGAGGCGATTTTAGACAAATTTTTACCGGTTGTTCCTAATGGAAACAGGCAAGACATTGTGAATGCTTCTTTAAGTTCCTCTTATATTTGGTCAAGTTGCAAAGTCTTAACATTAACAAAAAAACATGAGGTTAAGTGTTCTCAAATCTGATGTTCAAGAAACGGCGACTTTTGCAAAATGGATTTTGGATATAGGAGAAGGAAAAGTTGGTGGTTTGAATGACGAGCAATTATTATTATTCCTATTGATCTTCACGAGCAATTATTATTATTCCCATTGATTCAGTTGATCCTATTGGTTCATTAATTGGATTTGCCTATCCTTCTATTGTTGAAAATGCCAAGAATCCAATTGGTTTTCAAGAAAGAGCACTCCCTGCACTAAAGAATGAAGTCGTGAAAGAGATTAACGAGCGTTTGTTAAAATTATTTCCAGGAGATCCACAGGAGTATTTAAGTTTAGATAGTCTTTCTCATGCAGATTTTGTTCATGATGAAGTTGATGAAACTTTATACTCTCCTGATGTTCTAAATGGTCTTAGAGCTTCAGGTATGCCAATTCATAAGTTGGTGTTAAAAGTCGGTGTTCCGGTTATGTTACTAAGGAATATTGATCAGAAATGTTGATTGTGCAATGGCACGAGGCTACGGGTTATTGCATTGGGTAAACGTGTTATAGAAACTAAGATAATGTTGGGAAGTAATATCGGGAACCGTACTTTTATTCCCATAATGTCTTTGACGCCTTCGGATAAAATGATTCCTTTCATATTTCAAAGACGACAATTTCCACTGACTGTATGTTTTGCAATGACAATAAATAAAAGTCAAGGACAGTCACTATCGAATGTGGGGTTGTTTTTGAGACAACCAGTATTCACTCATGGACAGTTATATGTTGCATTGTCGAGAGCTAAAAGTAAAGCTGGATTAAAGATATTAATTTTAGATAAAGATGGTAAACTTACCAACACGACATCTAATGTTGTATTCAAGGAAGTCTTTGGCAATTTGTAATTCATAAAAATAAGTGTCAATATTTTAATAGTTGTTTTTATTATTATACATTAAGTTACTTACTTATTCATCATTTTGTTTTTATATATGTAGCAAGTTTTAATTAATTCATGTTTAATGTCTACATCATTATTGTCATCATCATTTTATAAATATGTACCTTTTTATTTTATTTGTTTATATATTGAAATAGTTAATTTATTCATTATAGATTTTTGTATTTATGTAAAATTATTACTAAAAAACATGTAATTCTTAACAATTTATATTAATTTTTTTAATAAAACTAGTGTAATATATGAGTCTCATACCTAGTTTCAAAAATATAATAAAACGACAAATGTCAAAACTTATAAGAGATTGACACGTGGCAAAATGAATTTTCATTTATTATAGTAGATGTTGAAAAAATAGTGTTTTCCTTTAATAAATATTGTATACAGTGACGAATCTAGAACAAAAAAAAGGTGTGATTCATTATCTCTGCATTGTTTCTTCATTCTTGGCTGATTGGCTCTCACGAATCTATTTGGAAACCCTCACCAACTGCTCAGTCATATCAGGTAAATCATCTTTGCTAGATCTGATAACATGCTACATTGAGTACATTCGATCGATTAGTTGATTTTCCACTTGTGTTGTGTACGTGATTTGATACCAAAAGGTAGCTATAATAACATAATGTGTGCGTAATTGCAATTTGCAAAACCAACCCTAGTAGGTGCATGTTTCCATTATTTTTGGAGGACAAAACTTGTTTGTGTCTACCTTGATACGTTTTGATTATTTTGTCACTCCTATTATTGGTGTTGTATGTTTTAGGTATTTCAGATCAACATGTCACCCTCAAGTACCCTACCCCTTACGAATCACAACCATATCAAATACATCGGTTGGCATGCGAGGCTTCCATGAAACCTGCTGCTGATTATGTTACAGCTAACATTTGTACAGCGGGTAAAGAGTGCATGAAGTTGTATGGTATAGAATGGGAGGGGGAGATGCCTATAAAGATAACTAATGATAAGATTTTGATAGAGCGACTGATTTTGAATAATCATATTTTTTAATAGTGTAGTTTGACAATTTATTGATGCTAGAGATTTATTTATAGAGCAATTCACGAAACATATATTTTGTCATTAAATAATTCGCGATGCAAAAGGTCCGCAAAATTACTTTATGTCAGAAAAACAATCACACTAACAAAGAAAAACAATACTAAAAAACCAGAGACCTCTTTGTTTTTTCATCACAATCACACTAACCACAATACAAAGCATCACCTACTACCCTATACACACCCTCAAATCAATTGTCAACCAAAAAAAAAAAAAAAAAAAAAAAGTTAGCTCACTTTCAACCCCCCACCCCCACCACACTTATCTCATCTTAACCACCCAACCAAAGGCTTCGGTATGCTACTTACATGCCACAATCTCAACTAAATTCATTCATCGTTTTTTATTATTGGGTGCTCCGGTTTAACCCCCCTCGTCCTATACTCCTACATAAAACACACTTATTTTATAAAAAGTTTAAAAAAATAATAAGCGAAAAATATATGTATATCAATCATACCTGGATGGAAGTAGCTGAGAGGTGTTGACTGGAGCTTTGGTGTTTCCCATCCGTTTTGCCCTACTATCCTGTTCCTTATCAAGACGCATAGCCGCCACTTCCTTCTCCATTGCCGCCACCTCCCGCCTCATCTTTTTAGCTTCCACCTCCATAGCCTTTGTTAGTGTATCCACTTTTTTCGCCAACATCTACATTATTTATTAATAACTACTCATCAAAAACAGTTATACCAAGTGACCAAAAATAGTCATTTTACTTTGAAACAGGGACCTAAACGTTACAAAAACCTCAAATAAGGACCAAAACTGCAAGTGAACATTTTGGGATCAAAATTGCATGATAACTCCAAAAATGTAAATTTTACTTTAATGGTTTTTTTTTTGTAATTTTCCCTCGAAAAAAGAAAAAGAAAATACAAACCTCAATTGCATCATCTTTGTCTTTGAGACTCTGATCCTTTTCATAAACAGCCTTCCTCAAACCAATAACTTCCTTTTGCAACAAATCATACAACAACCCGGGCACACTATCTTCCGTAAAATCACATGGTTTTTCATCAGGGGTATCCCCGTCTTTTGCCTCATCACACGATTGTACAATGTTGTTATTAAAAGTAGGACTATTTCCTCCACTATTGACAAGTTTACCCCTGTCGAGCGATCGCGTCCCACCGTCAAATGACTTTGACGTCCCTTTCGCATGTCGCAACACCGAACTCGAACCAGAAGGAAGCGTTGACCTTATTTGGAAAGACGGCGACCTTTTCGGTAAAAAACCATTCGAGGTCAATTTCGTAAAATTGTCGGCTCCACCTAGCGATTGGCGACGTGAAGAACATATAGCATTTGGTGATCTTAATGTATCTTCTAGAACCCTGAGTCGCAGTTGATATTTTTCCTATATATTTTTTCAATTAATAAATTTAATTGCGAGGAATATAAAATAAAAATAATGAAGAAAAATATTACTTTTAATTGTGCTTCGGATTTTGCAGCACGATCGGTTATTGCTAGCTTATCGCGCAATTGTTGCATCTCGCTTTGTAAGAATCTTCTTTCTTCAAGCCATTGTTTGACTGGCATGACTTTGTCATTAGCATCTTTCCATTCGTTGGCGACAACTGTCGCCACTCTATTCGCTGTAACTTTTGCACGGGCTAGCTCTCTGTCTAGAGTTTTTCGTTCCTCCTATTAAAGAAAAACCACAAAATATATCTCTCAGATAATACAATACAATACAAGACAAGACAGAACAAGTTGTACAGTATTTGTTATGTCCCACCTTTTTTAGGTAGGACAAAAAGTTGTTATTTTTGTCAAATTGACATTAGTGTCCACATGTCTCATAGAGACTGCGACTGATGTCAATCTGACAAAAAGCCTGTCCCACCTTTTTGGGCAGGACAAAAGACAGTACACAATGCAACCTGTTGTGTCATGTATAAACTTTAATTAATTACATAATGGAATTTCCATTATATTATGTTTTACATTCATTTCTTGAACTTTGCGTTGATAGTCTCTGACAGCGTTTGCAGCTGCACCGCCAGCAAGGACAGCCTCTTCAAGCTCACGGACAGTTTGCGTAAGTTTTTCCACCTCAGCAACTTTTTGACGATGCATCTTATCCAAAATTTTATTTTCCTCCTGTTAAATAAATAAATTAGGATTTGTTTGGTACGATGGAATGGAATTACAAAGGAATGGAATGGAATGGATCATTACATTCCATTATCATGTTTGGTTGGCTTGAAGGAATGAATTATAGAAAGAGTCATTCAAACATGTTCTTTTTTGATAAAAAAAAAACTAAATGAAAGTAAATTGATAAATATAGAAAAATTTATTATTTTATAAAATAAACTTTAATCAAATAAGATGTATTGCTAAATAAATCGCATATAAACACATTTCACATTGTTTGAAATATATACATGTATTTCAAATAATAATAAATATAAGATTATTTACCATTTTAAAAATATTTGAGTACAAAACTAACTGCCATCAAATCTTAAAATAAAATTATAATTAAAAAAAATAGTCATTATCAGAAAATAACAAATTTAATTAGTTGAAGTTTTGAAATTTTTTAAAAATATTATTTTTATTGAAGATTATGCAAAAAAAAAGTAATTTATATTTGTATGATTGTGATACCTGGCAAATTTCTATTTGTTTCATCAACTCCTGATTCTTATTCTGAAGATCATCAACCATGGATGCTTTTGCCAATGCAACCTGCACTGTTCTCTCAGCTTCAAGTAAAGCAGCCTCTTTCGATTTAGTCAACCGATCTAATGCTTTGTTGTCATCCTGCAGCTTTGCAATCTGAAATCCAAAAGGGCAACAATGTAATTTCAAATCTTTCATAGCCATCTCAAAAGATAGAAATTTTCTACCTCTTGTCTAGCCAGCTTGAGCTCAGCTTCCAAAGGTGCAAGAATGGCTTCAATTGGAGGCATATCATCATCTTTTTGGGCTGCATGAACCCTTCGTAAAGTGGCTTCTGCTGCAAATTGAGCTGCCATTGATGCTTTCTTCTCATCGTTGATTTTCTTGATTTCAAGATTCTACATAACCAAAAAGGGTATTTTAGGTATTTGATGTTGTAATGAAAAGATTACAGATGGGTGATGGTGGAAGTAGTTTAAGACTTTAAGTCATTACCTTGCTTTCCAGAAGAGATTCAGTCAACTTTAGCTTCTCATCCACTTTTGACAACTCTTCAGTTAGCTACATTATACAGATTCAAAAGCAAAAGTTATACATGAGAGATTAGACAAATCTATTAAAAAAGTACACATAAAATGGAAGATATTCAAATGGGAGAACACTAATATGTTAGACAAAAGTCAATGGCATGACAATAAGAAATTTGTCCCACAAAAATTTTCTACAATCAAAAAAACACAATATGGAAACAGAGAAAATAGGAAATAAGCATATTCACCTCTCATTGTCATGAGCCCAGACAAAGGAAATGACACATAGATTTGGTATGTTTTGATGATATATGGATTTATATCTAAATAGAAGAACCACAAAAATAGGGACATGAAAAAAGCAAGACCATGTTCTATTTCTAACTCATGAAATAGACTAAGTACCAAATAGTGAGTACCTCAGAAAATGACATTGCATACTTTTTTCTCCATGGACAATATCAGCATAAAAATAAAAATATACCTCACATAAGAATAAGTTTGAAAAAAAAATGAGAAGTGTCCGATAATTTTGCAAATTAACAAAAGGAAAATATACTGAAAAAATAAAACCAAAACTAGCTTGTAACTAGAGTGCATAATAAATACATCTTTCAAGGGAAACAAAGAAACAAATAAAGAAATAAACAAAATACCCATTAACATCATCCTGATTCCTAGTCAATGAAATCGCAGATTGAAGGTACAAAACTTTAAAAACTATGACATCAACACCGGATATGCATTCAAATTCAAATTGTTAAGGTTAAAAAATAAATCAGAACTACATATCTAGTTAATTATACCTAGAAAAGTACGAAATCATTGATGAACACACACAATTCAAAAAAATAATACCTCTTCAACAGCTTTTTCTCTCAGGCGTTCGGAGAGCCTGAGCGCTTTGATCTCAGCTTGTGATTCGCTCAATTCTCGATCCTTATCTGTACAAGAAGAAAAGGAAAATCAAGTAAAACCCTATCCGGTTAAACAGTGAAAAAGAAGAGAAAATATCAACATTCAAACAACCAAAAGGATTCAATTAATCAATCAGATCATTTTGCATTATTCACCTCTGACTTCATTTTCCAACCGATTGAGCTCGACCTTCACCGGATCCGAACCGTGGAGCAGATTTATAAACTCATCAGCGTCTAAGCTCGGCCTCACTGTACCTCTCCTACGACTAGAACTACCCGAACCTCTCCCTCCTCCTCCTCCCCAATCCTTAAAAGATCCCGACACCGTCAACGGCGTCGTATCACTAGTCGGAGGCCGTACATTGCCACCGTTGTATTCTCCACGATACAAAACTTCCGGCGAGTCCGTCATTCCAATCACATCACCTTCCACAGATACCTCCTCCATCACTCGGATCTGAACTCAATCAAGCATCAATCAGCTCCAAATCAAATCCGTTATCCTATAGGGTTTCTCAAATCTCAGATACAAACACACTGCAGTAGATGTGTGTATACATATATTTTCACGAATCTAGATGGGTGTAGCGAAGAGAGAGAGAAGAAAAAGAGCATAACCTGGAGGAAAATGGTTTGAAGTTTTGTCACTCTAGACTACTTGCCTCCATTTAAATCTGCATCGTCTCACTGTCTTAAGATTTTTCTAAAAGTGTTTTCTCTCTCTAAAATTGTGCGTGTGTTTAGCTGTTCGTGTTCCTTGTGATTTGGCGTGAAAAAAACAATTAGAAATAAATCACATTTTTTCTCTCTAAAGTTTTAAACTAAAACATACTTTCAAAATTAATTTTATTATATATATATATATATATATATATATATATATATATATATATATATATATATATATAATGACAATCTAGTTTTTAACTTCTTCTTTTCATTAAAATAAGGTACGTAATTCGCACTTCAATCCAATTTTGATACATTCAATAAATAACAAGGTTCTAAATAACGTAAGGCGTGACTTGGCGGCAATGTCAAGCCTCAAGCTTTTCCGAGCCTTGGCGAGCCACGTCGTTTGTAAGGCGTGACTTAAGGCGGCAATTTTGTATATAATTCATATTTTTATATGTATTTTCTACTATTATTCATTTTTATACACATATATGAGTCAAGGCGGCGTTTTGGTAAAGCTTGGCGGCACATACAAGCCTTGGAGCCATGACGCGTCATGGCGGCGAGTTTTTTAGAACCTTGATAAATAACATTTCATTTATCACTTGATTTTTACCCCGGTTACCGTTTATATCCAAAAATAATAATAACAAAAAAAATTATCAGGTAAATGGTTTTATGTACCCTTTGATATCTCTATTTTTATACTTTTATAGTTACGGGTGTTTGCATTGCTTTTTAACATCAAAAGTCCTTTTTGTAGAAGAATTTTTAATAAAAGAACTTTTTGTGAAAGGAGCTCTTTAAAAAGTGTTTGGATTAGCAAAAGGACTTTTGTGTTAATGATTTCATCTTGAATTCTAGTTTTGTTGATGTTCCACTTGGTGGTTATAACTTTACTTGGTCTCTTACGTACGGTGAAAAAATGAGCAAATTAGATAGATTTCTCATCTCTGGGGTTTATTTGATTCGTTTCCAAATATTTCGGGTATTGTTTTGGATAGACATCTTTCAGATCATCGCCCTATTCTTTTAAGGGATACGGTTTTGGATTATGGTCTCATTCCTTTTCGATTGCTCCACTCGTGATTTTTAGTGCCTGGATTTAATCAGGTAGTTAGATACGCTTGGGAAAGTGATGGGATTATTGACGATAATGCTATTATTGCACTAAAAAAGAAACTCCAATTTCTTAAAAACTCTTTAAAATCTTGGTACAAAGATTTTCGGTCTTCTAAAGCTTCTAGAAAGAATGAACTTTTAGCAACTCTTGCAGAGTTGGATAAAAAGATTGATGATGGGGATGGTAATCTGGGGTTGATTCAGTCTAGAGCTTCTATTTCTAAGTCTCTCATTGATCTAAATAAGATGGAAGCTATGGAGTTATCTCAGAGAGCTAAAGTTCAGTGGTCGATAGAAGGTGATGAAAATACCAGTTATTTTCATGGTATTATTAATAAAAAGAGAAAGTAGAGGGCGATTAGAAGTGTTTTTTCTAATGGTGACTGGATTGAAGACCCTTTTTTGGTCAAAAAAGAATTATTTTCTCATTTTTCGGATAGGTTTTCGTTGCCTTGTACTTCTTGGATCCTGCTTGATCTTGATTTTCCTTCCCAACTTTCTTTGGACCAGCTCTCGGTCTTGGAGGGTGAGATTTCGAGAGATGAAATTAAATGGGTTGTTTGGGATCTGATAAGTCTCCAGGTCCCGATGGATTTACTTTTGAGTTTTTTAGAAGATATTGGAGCATGGTTGAGAATTCGGTTGTGGCTGTAGTGCAACAATTTTTTATTTATGGTTTTTTTCCAAGTGGTTGTAACCCGTCTTTTATACCTCTGATTCCAGAAATTTCTGATGCTAAATTTGTCAAGGACTTTCAACCTATTAGTTTAATAGGTTGTCAATATAAGATTGTAGCTAAGATTTTAGCTAATCGGCTTAGCTTGGTGATTGATGTCCTGATTAGTGAACAACAGTTTGCTTTCATTTCCGGCCGTCAATTCTCAATGAGATTTTATCTTGGTGTAAGCATATATAAGAAGAAGAAGGTTATGATTTTTAAAGTAGAGTTTGAGAAGGCGTATGATTCTGTGAGATGGGATTATCTAGATGATATTTTGGATAAGTTTGGTTTTGGCAATAAATGGAGGGGTTGGATTAGAGGTTACTTATATTCTTCTACGGGTTAGGTGTTGGTCAATGGCAGCCCTTCTGATGAGTTTCGTTTCTTTAGAGGGTTACGACAAGGTGACCCTGTTTCTCCCTTTCTGTTTATTTTAGTGATGGAGTCTTTGCATATTGTGTTTACTCGGTCTATGGAGAATGGTTTTTTCACGGATCTTTTTGTCGAGTCCTCTATGCAGATTTCTCATCGTTTTTATGCAGATGATGCGGTATATATAGGTGAATGGAAAGATTCTGATCTTTCTAACATTGTTTCTATTTTAAAAAAAATTATGGAATTCAGATTGAAGATTAATGTGCAAAAATCACGTATGTTACGAGTTTGTGTTCCTTTTCATGAAGTTGAGTTAGTGGAAGCTTTAGTAGGTTGTGCAGCTCTTAAGACTCCCTTCATATACCTTGGCTCTATGGTTAGAGGTTCCATGTCCAGGCTACAGTCTTGGGATTCGGTTGTTCAGAGGGTTTCTACGAGAGTGTCTAAATGGAAATTTAACACCCTTTCCCTGGGCAGTCGTCTTACGCTGCTCAAGTCAGTTCTTGGTTCTATTCCTACTTTTTTATGTCTCTTTTTAAAGTTCCTGCTGGTATTATTGCTAAGTTGGAGAAATTGAAAAGTAACTTTTTTAAAGGGATAGACAAAGATGATAAGAAGATCTCTTGGATTGCTTGGGATAAGGTGTTGGCTGCAAAAGAGATAGGGGGTTTGGGAGTTGGAAGCTTCTTTGCTTTGAATAGGGCGCTGCTTTTTAAATGGGTGTGGAGAATTAGAACTAATCACGCTTCTTTATGGGCTCGTGTTGTGAAAGCGATCCATGGGGAAAATGCTATTTTGAATTGTGATACTCTTCCTCATCGAATATCAGTTTGGATTGAGATCATTCAAGCTATTCTTGATGTACCTGTTAAAGGTATAAATCTCTTTGATAGCTGCAAGAAGTTAATTGGTAATGGTGATAATACTCGTTTTTGTTTGGATAAGAGAGTGAAGTCGTTTAAGGGCTTGTTATTCCAAATATGAGTTTGTATTGGACTCCTTGAGCATAAAGGTGCAAGCTTTATGAGATAATTGGTTACATGCATGCATTAAGTCACTTATTAAGTCCTTTTTAAGCTTAAGAGCTTCATTTAGACATGCATGAACGTAAAGTTGGCAACTTTACGTGGTTTTCCAGCTCAGGGAAGTCAGATCTATGTTTTGGGGCTATGTCTTTATGGATTAAGTGCTTATTGGTTAGGCCCTTGCATTATTAAGCTTCATGGATTGAGGTTTGAACCTCTTTGGGTAGTCCGAAAGGATAAAGTTGGAAACTTTATCCTTCTGGGCCACGTTATGAACTAGATCTGAGCCTTGGAGCTCTTGGTATCGAAGAAAACAACTTAATGTATTAAGCTGTTGAAACTCGGGCAAACACGGCGTGTTGGCTGGGGTTTTCCCGATTATTTGGATGATGGCGAAACACGGCCTGTTTGGTCAACATGGACTGTTGACTTTGACTTTGACCAGAAGTTTGATCAGGGTTGACCTCAAGATGTTTTGGGCCATGTTTGGGCCTTTTAGATTGTTGAATTGGGCCTTGGCTTTGGGGCCAAGTTATAAAGAGGGTAAAAAGGTCTTTTACCCTAGTTTGGACACTTAGTGTGAGTCAGATCCGATTATTGATGGATGATTAACTTGTGATTGATAGCGTGGGGATTCTTGCAGGCAAGCAGCCAGAGATTCTTTCTTTGAGATTCGGTAGTGCAAGGTGAGTTTCCTCACTGGGTTTTGCGGGTCGAAGGCACCGATGCCGGCCCATGTTTATGCTATGTTAGTATGCTAGCTGTCTACGTGACGCGTGCATGTGTTATGTGCTTATATGCTTACCAGGCGGGGCCTAATGACCATTTTGTATGCTATGTATCTTTGTGATTATTGCATGTGTATGTGTTTACTTTATATATGTTATATGTATGATGGGCGGGGCCCGACCTGTTTACCGAGTGGGGCTCGATGTCGGGCGGGGCCCGATGCCGGGTAAGGCCCGATGTCGGACGAGGTCCGATGTCGGGCAGGGACCGATGAAGGGCGGGGCCCAATATGTGTTATTATGTATGGTATGAGGTATCTTGTGGAACTCACTAAGCTTTGTGCTTACGATTTTTAGTTTATGTTTCAGGTACTTCAGTTTTCAAATGAAAGAGCTCGGGATGATTGCAGAGCACACACCACATGTTTTCGCATTCTGTGAATTACTCTGATTTGATGATGTTTTGTTGAATCTTGATTACCTTGGTTTTATGAGAATGTTATGTATTAACGATTTATTAATCTAAACACGAAAATTTTATGTTATTATGATTTGGGACGTTACAAGTTGGTATCAGAGCCTTGGTTTGAGGGATTCGGACATACTTTCGGGTGTGTCTGAACTCAAACTGAGGATTTGGTAAAGTTTTTCGAAAAAGGGTGTGGTGCATGCAATCGACCGAGCTCAAGTAAGTTTCTCCCAAAATACCCATACATGTTATCTGGTATGATTTGATTTATGAATTTGTGAATCGCATGCTGTAACATCCCAAATTCAAGACCAAAAATTTTGTTTTTAAATAAGTTGTTATAAAACCAACAGTATAAGAAAACATCCTTAGTAACATCCCATGTCAAAACCAAAGTGTCAATAATCAAAACATGTTATCATAAAACAATATTAGAGTGTAATCCCAAAGATCTCATGTGCGGAAAACATAGTGTGATGCGTTGCGATCGCCGGCTCCTTTCATTTAAAAATGAAGTACCTGGAACCAAAACTGAAAACTGTAAGCACGAAGCTTAGTGAGTTCCCCCATCATACCACATACCAAACAATAAACATACTGTAGGGCATATCTGGGTGCCCGGCCTACCATGCTGAGCATATATGGGTGCTCAACCTACCCTTGTCAGGCATACCGGGGTGCCGGACC